AAAAAAAAAAAATCAACTTAACCCTGATTTTAGGTACTGAAGTCTCATAGAAGAGGTTTACCCTCAGGAAAATAGGACAGTTGCTGAAAAAGCAAATTAACTGGTAAAAGTGTGACTCTACTGAGGGTACAATCTGAAGAATAGGTAGCTGCGTCCCCTCAATTCCCCAACCTGGGGTGCTTTTTGATTTTCACTCCTTTGCTGTGAGAGCGACCACTTCTGGTCTGCTCTCACACAGCCTCCTACACGTAAATCACTCGTAAATCACTCCCAATGGTAGGGTATGAGTGCTATATCCAGCCACTCCTGAATTACACTTCAGGGCAACACCAGCAAACTCCCAGTCCCAGACTTCCCCCAGAAATGTGCATCTTGTACAGTCCAGCCCCCTCCTGGACAATACAAGCTCATATAAAGTCTATCATTTCTTAATAGAAAATTATATTCATAAATCTTATCCCAAGTGGAGTTTCCAAAACACTTCAATCCAAACACACTCATTTAGATAAAACAACAACACACATTATCTACAGAAAGACAGATTTTAAGTAACTACCCCTCTACTCTGATATAACGCTGTCCTCGGGAGCCAAAAAATCTTACCGCATTATAGGTGAAACCGTGTTATATCGAACTTGCTTTGATCCACCAGAGTGCGCAGCCCCACCCCCCTGGAGTGCCGCTTTACCGCGTTATATCCGAATTCATTTTATAGCATGTTCCGTTATATCGGGGTAGAGGTGTACAAGTAATGAGGCACATTACATCAGAATTAGTTACAAGGAAATAAAAGGTAAAACACAACTAACTTAACAAGCTAGATCAGTGATCCCCAAACTTTTCAGGGTCACTTGCCCCTTACACCTGTCCGTGCTCCCCCTCCCTGAGCTGGGAGCAGGGCTGTGGCTCCTGGGGAGGGGAGGTGGGCAGGGGTTAGGGGGCCGAGGCTGGGAGTGGAGCCACTGTTGGGAGCAGGGCCAGGAGCGAGGCCAGAGAAGAGCTGGGGGGCGAAGCAGGGCTCGGTGGCACTTCCTCCCTTCCCCCTGTGGGGGCTGACCCAGACCTGCCACCCACCCCAAATGTTCCTCCCTGCCCCCCTAAAAGGGCACGCCCCACAGTTAGGGGACCTCAGAGCTAGATGAACGCAAAGGAAAGGTCTCTCTCCCTAGATCAAGGGTGGGCAAACTTTTTGGCCTGAGGGCCGCATTGTGTTTCAGAAATTGTATGGAGGGCTGGTTAGGGGAAGCTGTGCCTTCCCAAACAGCCAGGCATGGCCTGGCCCCCAGCCCCATCCGACCCCCTGCTTCTCACCCCCTGACGCCCCCACCCCCCAGGACCCCTGCCCCATCCATCCCCCCCACTCTGTCCCCTGACCCCCCACCGCCCCATCCAACCCCCTCCCTCCTTCCTGACTGTCCCCCCAGGACCCCTACCCCATCCAACCACCCTTTCGCCTTGTTCCCTGACCACCCCCGGAACCCCCACACTGACTACCCCCTGCTGCCCCATCCAACCCCTCCTCTCATTCCTGACTGCCACCCCCACCCCAGCACCCCTGCCCCATCCAACCACCCCTTCTCCCTAACCACCCACGGAAACCCCGCTCCCCCCTGTTCCCTGCCCCCTGACCATTCCCACCCCATCCACACCCCCAGCCCCTGACCACCCCCAAACCCCCTGCTCTCTATCCAACTCCCCTCCCCCCCTCCACAGCACGAGAGGCAGCTGCGCCCCATGCAGCACAGAGCACTGCGTCAGGCCAGGCTCTGCAGCTGCGCTGCCCAGG